CTATTATTCCAGTATCATTTGGAAACATACCTACATTATTGAAGTTGTAAGTGCTTACTGGAACCCTATCCTGGCTTTATATAGATTTAGAAGGCAGAGATGAGGAGACAGGTGCTATCATCTTATTAATGTATTTCTACATGATACATATAAGACTACACATTTGAAATTTTTATAAAGCAATATTTACATGGTTTCACCATTACAAGCAAATAGCAGTTAAAAATCATCAGTAACAGAACACAAAACAATGAAATTTCTCTAAAACTATATTTACATTAAAGAGAAACTAATAAAACTTAGAAGGATAATTTTTCAAAGTGAAATTAGGTTTTGCTTACGCAATTAGGATGAAATGAAAATATTATAAACATGAAATACATTAAATATTGTACTACTAAATTAATGAACGTCATATAGCTGTCCCTAATAATTTTAACATGGATTGAAAATGACTATTGGAGAGCATATGTGGACTTGAAGGTGTGTGGAATTTTGTGATGTTGAACATTTTTGTTGGTTAAATTATCAGGAGTCTCAGGAACTGCAACTTGCAAGGATCAATCCCTGATCTAAGCGGAATACCCAACCTTGGTTATCTGTAAGTTCATGTGTTTGTTCCTCATGCTGGAATGACTTTCCCATTAGAGAATTAAGTGTACCTCTTATTTCTATTCTCTTATATAAATTCCAGGGAACTGAGCTCAAACCAGCTAAGTGGACCCATACCTACAAATAAGCTCTCCAAGAATATCACAACCATGTAAGATTCTCTCACTAGCAATGTACACATTTTTACTAATTTGCTTGCTTTAAAATTTTAAAAATACTCACTTTAGATTACAATACCTTTGTGTGATTCTATGATTTTTGACATTTTGTTGTATGGAAATATGTATAGTAATTTATCCAACAATAATCTTACTGGAAGCATTCCTGCCAACTTTTATGGTCTACGTACCTCTTCTCCAAAGACTGTAAGCATTCTCCACTTGGTTTCCACCAATTCGTTTCTTGCCTTTGTGAACACTAGAAATTAAGTTAGTAGCCTATGGCATTGCCAATATATTTAACTTGATTAAATGTATTTAAAAAGTTGGTTATTCCTCCTTGTAGGCTACTTGCAAATAATTCATTGAATGGCTCAATTTCATCCTCCCTTTGGCAAAACAGGACTCCAAATGCAATAAAGAGTAATCTTACAATGTAAGTCTTGAAAAAATGATTTCCTTTGTTTAGAATCTGAACCCTACATCACAGTCATGGACTTGATTTGCCAAGTGAAAAGGTTGATCTAAATTTAGGAGAGTAATTTGTTCACACTTAAGATCAACAATGTAATCATTTGTGATGTTCAATGACTATTTTTGCTAATAATCAATGCTCCGGGGTGCTTTACATTAACTATACAGGGATTTGGAGAACAATTTGCTTGTCAATATTTTTGGTAGTGCTGACCTCCCTCCAAATGTCACTCTCTGGTTTGCTCTTGCAACCCTTTCTTTTGATTTTACTTTAATTAAGTAGTTGTTGATGTGTTTAATTTTACTTTGCTTTTATATCCTATTAATTCACCTGCAATATAATGTACACTTACACCTTCAATAGGCCTGTTGGTTTTATAGTTTTTTTTGTGTGTGTATATATATATATATATAAAGAAAAGAAAGGTTTGCAATCTAAAGTGAAGTTGAATATCTTCTTGTCTTTCAGGCTTAAAGGGAATCCTATATGCTCGAATCAAAGTTTAGTTCAATTCTGTAAATCTAAAGCTGAGAATGAAAATAGAATAAGCACTGCAACAAACTCCACCACCGCTGAGTGTAAACTGCAATCATGCACTTATGAGTATTCGCCAACATCTCCTTTAGATTGTTTTTGTGCCGAGCCTTTGCGAGTAGGATATCGATTCAAAAGTCTTGGCTTTTCAGATTTTATTCCATATAAAAAAATGTTTGAGGCGTACCTGACTCAATATCTTAGTTTGTCTGTTTATCAACTCTATATCTATTCATTTGCATGGCAAGAAGGACCACGACTGGTAATGTACTTAAAGCTCTATCCTGTTTATGATAACACTACCAACAGTTATTTATTCAATCTAAGTGAGGTTCAACGAATCAAGAGCATATTCACTAGATGGAGGATCCCTCTTAATGGCACATTTGGACCTACAGAACTTATAAACTTCACTTTGTCGGATATCTATAAGGATGGTTTGCTCCACAACTTCATCTCCTGCCAAAGAATATTTATCCATAGCTTCTATTTTTTTTTTATAAAAAAAAAAATGCTTATATTATCATATGATGTTGCAGAATTCAACCCCACTTCATCAACAGGCATAAGTAGAGGTGCATTAGCGGGCATTATACTAGGGACTTTTTTTGGTGCAGTTACTTTATCTGCAATCATTTCACTTATTATATTTAGAAGGCATCTGAAGGGCTACCATACAGTTTCAAAACGATGTAAAGGTAAGTATCTTAAAATCTCTTATGATAGGGTGTGCAAGTTGGTTATATATATTGGGTTAAATATCTTTTTTTATTCTTTTACTATATAAAAATACCTCTTTTTAGTAATTATATTGAAAACAAAAAACTTTTTTTTAATGCTTAAAGTTTGAAATTTATTTTATTTTATTTAAATTACAGTGAAAAAATCTATTTACTAAAAATTGATGACATAATAAAAATTTTTATCTAATATAACTCTAAAAATTATTTAATTATATAATTATCATTATAAATATTTTAAAAATTATTTTGTGATTAAAAATACTTCA